ATATATATATAAGCTACAGTCAGTGTTTATACTGTAATGCATCTGCTTATAGTTTAAGCGTGTCTGTTGTGAATCAGGTTTCTGTAACTGGATCCAAGAGGTCAGTGATGATATGAACTGGACTCTGAGTAATGGACTTCAAGTGGACGGGCCATGGAATGGACCTCTCTATGATCACACCATCAAAAATAATCAAGGTATTGACAATTAACATAAAACATAAATATACAGTACACATCACTGAGGTACATATACAACAGGAAAACTGTAAAACTCTGACATGATTACTGATTAATTTTCTGCCATTCTTGAAGAAAATGTTTGGTTCAATGTTCGCTGAAGCTCTTATTATTGTCGTTTTTTAATTTTCTCTTTAGGGCATAAAAAGGAATATTTGTCATAATTTAAAACTGTTGATTCTTAATTTGTTTTCATTTATTTTCTCCTTAAAGGTTTCTTTTTGCTGCTGAATGGTTCTGGCTCTAAGGATGATGAGGAAGCTGCCATTTCTGTTCCTGTCAGTCACCGATCACAAAGTTGTGTTGAATTTTGGTATTACATGCACGGACCTTYAGTATCCTCTCTGAATCTACTGGTTAAAAATGTACGTAGTGAAGCAGACTCCCTSAACATGATGTTGATAAGGTAGCTTACAGCCTTTTTGTTTGATGCAATCTAGAAATCCTCTGAGTTGTTAGTCTGGACTCGTCAGGGAACACAACATTCAGAGTGGATGAAAGCAGATGTAACCCTTAACATGAGCAACATGCTTCAGGTAAAATTTCAGTTGAACCTAACAATGATATTGCCTTTAAAAATATGCATGTCTATTTGTTTAATATTTATGAGACCAATTGTTTTAYAGTGAACATTTGATGGTTCATACATGTCATCTCTATTTAATGTAAATTCATGTTACCTATTAATACTGATGAATACTGATTAAATTTGATGATATTTTTGTCTTTGATGACAGATAATGTTTACTGGCCACAGAAACACCCACAGCCAAGGATTCAYAGCTATTGATGACATCACAGTGCGAGAAGGAGCCTGCAGCAGTCAGAGTATATGAACACTTTTGTTAAAAGCAGCTCAAAAAATAAAAATAGTTGTGAAAATTTGCCATTTATTTGTTGAATTTCTTTTAGACTTGTGTGGATTTGAATCGGACTTATGCGGCTTTGAGAACAGYGTCAACCATAAGGGTCAATGGGGGCGCAGAAAGGGAACCAAAGATTATGGGGATCACACATATGGAACTGAAAATGGTAAGTGCTGAACTGTAATCGTTCAAAAACTGTTAGGTATTAAAACGACAAACCATAGCAGCAGTCTGGTTTTCTTTATTGAAAACAACTCCAAAACGTGTACAATAGGTTGCCTTCAGGCCTCCATTGAAAAAGAGMGATCTGCAGTCTCATTGGGGTTTTCCTGGTTAAACAATAATTTAAAAAAAGGTCTTGGTAGTGCAAATCATTTAAGAAAATTGTTTTAGAAATTGTAATAAAAGTAATTGTGATTATGCATTTTTTCGGGTTCCAATGATTTGACTGAAACTGAAAAACTTGCATGAACAATTATGTTGGTGTAAATGTGAACATGCAGGGCTCTCTGCAGAATACTGTGTGGTTTTCAGTGTGCTGCCATTTCTAGCCTGTAACTCAAACCAGTGTTAAACAACAACAAACAAACTTTTCTAGGTTTCTACATGAGTGTGATGGCTTCCGATTCTACGCAGCCTGAGAWAGCCGAACTGCTCTCACCAGAGTTTACGTCAGCTGCAGAGATGTGTGTTMGCTTCTGGTCAGTCCACTCCCACCTCACACTCACACACCTCATTCTGATTTCTATTTGAATGTGAATGAATGAGTTTGTCTTTTATTTTATTTTTATTTTTTAGGTACCAGTTTTCTGCTGACCCCTCTAACAGTCTTGATGTCCACGTTCTGAGAAGCGGGATGCTTGGCGCTTCTCTTTGGCACCGTTCTGGAGCCTCCTCTGCAGGATGGGAGGTGGCAGAGGTCACCGTGGCTTCACCTGCTGATTTCTATGTATTTTTTTTTTAAATCACATTGTCATTTACCAAACATGTTAATACATGAAGGTTTTTTTTTCTATACCTGAAAACAATGTAAAGTGTCTCTTTTCCAGGTRGTGTTTCAGGCTGCCCATGCACCTGGCTCTGATGAGCCGGTAAAATTAGATGACTTTTCTGTGAGTGAGGGGGCCTGCCTCCCTCCTGCCAGCTGTGACTTTGAGTCTGGACAATGCAACTGGGTCAACATCCTGAGAGAAGATGGACACGAGTGGATTCTGTCGCATGGAGGACCGTATGGTCCAGAAACAGACCACACCACTCAGAACTCAGATGGTACAATCACAGTTATACAACACGCAGTTTTATTTTTGTTTTTTTACAAAAAGTAGCACTTCAGATATATTTTATAAGGCATTCTCAGCTACAACCRCTTCAAATTTTAGCTGAATAATTGCGAAATACACTGAACTAAAGCCAATTTGGTGTTTTCTGTGGTCAGCTGGATGTTGTGGCCATCTTTTTTCTTACTTAGAATTTTTTTAGATCTTTAACAAAACTCAAGACACAAAAGGAAAGGAACAAAAAGAACTATTTCTACATCTGCACATCCAATAACCATGTAAAAAACACAGTCATGTGTCAAAGCACTAGCACTGTGGTAAGGGTCACTCTCACTGCTCTCAGCAGTGTCTTTCCCAATTAAACTTCTCTGTTTGCCCCTGACTTATGGCCCATTAAATGTTTTACCTCTTCCCTGCTTTGCAAAGAATTGAATTCTGTTTGAAACTTTCATTGAAGTTTTAAAAATGTAAAATGTTTCCAACTAATTTGGATGTATATATAAATATAATTTTCACTTACATGCTTCACCTACTGACCTTACTGAGAGGTTATTAATCAATCCCTGCATTATAAAGGCATTTTTTTATCCATGTAAGCAGTTGTTGTTATTTTTTATGCATTCAGGTTGGTTTTTATTGAGCTCTACCCGACCCCAAAGCCATCATAGTGTGGCACAGGTTGTGTCTGAGTGGATCAGGCTGAAGCACACCTCCTCCTGCCTCACCTTCTGGTACCAAACGGATAACAGGTTAGCAGAAAAAAAAAAGAAAATATCACCAAGTCATGATATTCTTTCCACTATACAGTATGTGACAAAACACAGGGAGTTTATCCTGTTGTTTAGTTTCCTCTCTGACTTCCTCAGGAAGTGTGCACAAATGTCATTTAGTCACGAATCACCTGCTTCACTTTGTGCAAGACCCGGAACATTCTGTGACAGAGTTTAGACTCAGCACAGATTCTGAAGCAAGTCAAGTGCAAGCAATGGGTCAGATGTCAAGATTTAGTTCCATATCTATAAACTGGCCCAGTAACCAGTGGTGCATTTGCTGCTGCAGCCATCTTGGACGGGGTTCATTCTAAAAGTTAATCTGTTCTAAGTGTAACACTCACATGCACAAAAACAAAGACAAGAACTTTATCATCTTTGACCTTTGATGATGATAAAACAAAAAAACACGTTTTAAATGTTCAGGGTTTTTTTCTTTGTGGATGATGAAAACAACTAACATTTGAGGGAATCACAACTTTGCAGCATTTTGTCTTGGTTAAGTAGTTTTACGTGTCAAATAGAATGATTTATTTGTTTTCTCTCAGCCACTCGGGGACACTCCGGGTGTTTGTGCGTTCAGGCCCGTCGGACGAGACTCTGATCCTCCACAGCAACACCAGCAACAGCAGCTGGAGACGGTTTTCTCAGTCTGTGGAGAGGTCCACACCTTACCAGGTGCCCTAAAAATGACTTTATAGTCAGAAAAATACAATAACTAGAGGAGGATTATAAATTATATTCATACATTTTGGGCTTTTTTTTTCTCCCAAACAGTTTCTGATTGAGGCAGAGACAGACAATGGATTTGTTGCTATAGATGACATCAGTCTGACACCAGGACTTTGTCCGGGTATTGTTGTTTTATTCTTTATTCTCTTCTTTTTAACTAACATTTGATTATTAATTGAAAAGCTTTTAACCTTTTTTCTTCTTTATCTAGAGAACGAAACAAGTTCGAGTTTTGTGAGCTGTTCATTTGAAAACGGCACGTGTGACTGGCAGGACATCAGTGTTGGACAGTTTCAGTGGGTCAGAAGGAATGCTTCTGGGAGCTCTGGGCCGTCTGTGGACAACACGCTGGGAACCAGGCTGGGTAAGAAAATAAGATGCTGGGTAACACAAGGAGGGTTTAGCGGAAAGAAAGAAAAATTAGCTGAATAAGAAATTTAGATTTTTCTGTTTCCTCTTTTGCGCCATGTTAGAAACGCTGCTGTGGCCAAGGTTTCTTCATCACTTCTCTACTGGTTCAGAATGTGTTGTTTTAATTCTGCTAAACAGGAAATCTTCACTTCTTTGATGTATTTCCTAACGTCTTCAGTAAAAATTTGAGATTTTGAGCTTTTAATCAATTTTTCAGGTTCCTCATTACGCTCCTAATATCAAGTGTTTTAGAAATCTACCTCAGCAGAACAACATTCCTCATTTTCACCAAACTGTTCATCTTCACTTTATTAACTTGTGGCGTGTTTTTCCAAATTTTCTCAGCAGTAGAAAAGTTTTACTTTGAGTTTGTAAAGTGTTACCAGTAAGGAGAGTTTGAATGGTTCTTCCAGGCTGGTATATGGCCGTGGAGGCTGATCGAGGGGAAGAAATGACCTCTGCAGCTCTGCAAAGCCCTGTTGTGGAGCAGGCCAGTGCCACCTGCACCCTGCACTTCTACTACAACATGTATGGAGACGGTAGGTTTACGTTTCAACTTAATGCAAAACAAATAAATATGAAATCTGGCACAGATGCGTGGATGGAGATGTTTGTAACTTTTTCAGACTCCGAGCTCAGCGTGCTGCTAAAGAGGGGCTCCAGGACCACCACGCTGTGGTGGCTGTCTGGCAGCCGTGGTGATTTGTGGCAACACGGTGAGGTCGTGATCGGCAGAGTCCCGCAGGACTTCACCGTCCTGTACGAATCCTCCAGGGACGTCAACCAGCCGGGACACGTCGCCATCGACGATGTCAGCTTCACCAACTGCTCCTTTCCTGGTGGACCTTTTATTTTTTTTACTTTTAAATTATTTTTTTAGAACAAACAAATAAAACTTTGATTTCTTTGTAGAGCCTGATCCGGGGTGCCCCGAGAGTATGTTCAAGTGCAACAACAACGTGTGCGTTGACCTTAACCGTGTGTGCGACTTCAGTGATGACTGTGGAGACAGATCTGATGAGAACGACTGTGGTGAGACAGTCCGACGCCGAATTGATTAATTTTAAACTGTTAAAACTTACAGAGCTGGCTCGTGTTGCTCTTTATTGCCTCATCTGAGCTCCACAAACTTACGAATTTAAAATATCTGCCCGCTCATCGTGCAGGAAAACATGGTGTGGTGGAGCGTTGCAGCTTTGAACAAGGCCTCTGCTCGTGGTCGCAGAGTGACGTGGACACGCCTGGAGCTGAATGGACACATCGCGGAGGGCTGGGAGCCTGGCCAAATCACGGGCCTCCCAGGGATCACACCCAAAACTCTGCCGCAGGTCTGTTCAGATGTCCGAGTTTTAACATTTAAATTGACTCTCTTTGCTGAATAGTGCTTTTTTGTTTATTTATTTGTTTATTTATTTATTTAAACTGTATTTGTAATTTTATCATACAGGTCACTATATTGCACCTGGACTTCACCTGACGGAAGCGGGTCAGACAGCTGAGATTCTCTCCAAAACCTTACTGCCCAGCTCAAGCTGCTCTGTAAGCTAACAGACACTGTTAAATAAGCACACCTTTAAGATACGCACTAGCTTCACAATATGATCCCTGCAGGTGAGGTTCTTTTACTTCAGTTTGGATGATGCAGCAGCCGAGCTGACAGTCCAGTCCAGGACAGTGTTGTCTGGGACGGACGACAAAGTGCTGTGGGTCAGAGGGGGCTCCCAGAGCTACAGCTGGCAGAGGGCAGAGGTCACGTTCTCCTCCTCAGCCAGAAGCAAGGTTTGTAAGAGCTAATTAAATGAGCTTATACCAAAAAAAAAAGTTTCAATTGTCATATTATTTCTCAGGTTGTTGTCAGGTACGAGCTTAAAGAAGCACCCAGGGGACTGGTTGCTTTAGATGACATCACTTTCTCCAAGGGATGCGTTTTTGACCCTGAAAACAGCCAACTACCTCAGACGCCCACCTCTGTTCCACCAACTTCCTCAACTGCTCCTGTGAACCCCTGCCAGGTGTGAAGGCTACCTCTTGGCTACAAAAGCATCTTGGAGGATTTCCACATAGCTGCTCTTTTTTAAGACGTGTTTCTCAACGCTTTGGTTTTTCCTCGCAGGATGATGAGTTTTTCTGCCATCAGTCAGCTGGGAGCGTGTGTCTTCCAGAAACATTGAAGTGTGATTATCATCCGGACTGTCCGCGTGGAGAGGATGAAGCCGGCTGTGGTGAGAGCTGCATGTTGCATTTATTGCATTTACAAGCCTTATTTAATTCATGGAATCAACACACATGTATGTTTATTCGATTTTTATATTTCAGGGGTGTCAAACTCATTTTCATTGAGGGCCACATGAGCGTTATGGTGGCCCCTGAACTTGTAATGAACTTTGATGTTTCATGTTTAACTTTGACTGAACAGTGTTTCAACGTGTCCTCTTTTAAACAGTGATAAGAACTAAGTGTGCGACTGACTAAATCTGAAATAAATACAGAAATATTATTTAGTTTGTGGTTGACGCTGACTTTAAAGCAGCTTATTTTCAGACATTAATACTGTGCTTTCCAACTAAATTGCTCAGTTACTTAAAGCCAACAGGACAGGAATTTATAAATTTTATTTTTATTTCATTTATTTTTATTAAATTATTTAGTTGTATTTAATCATAAATTTAAAGTTTACCATTGATATAAGAAACAATTTTCATGTTACATAAAAAATATTTCTTTAGGGGGCGGGGCACACGGGAGTCGCCCACCTTGTGTTTGACACGTGGTTTGTTTTGTATGAAAAAAAAGATCCAACCATTGTAGAAATTTAATTTAATTTAATTTAATTTTGTTGAGTTGTAAGCTGTCATGCAGTCAGCTAAAACCAAAGAGCTTCTGTTTGTCCTGCCTTCTTTCTGCAGAAGAATCCCTCACGTCTGTGCTCGTTTATTTCAGGTCCGTGCACGTTTGAGAGCAATCAGTGCCAGTGGGCCGACAGCAGTGACGGACAGAGCAAGTGGCAGAGACAGAGAGCTTCTAGCACCACGGATCCTCCCACAGATCACACCACACAGACTGGTGACGCGGATCATTTATCAACAGAATGTTGTGGACCCAAGCCACTGTTTGGTTTCTTTTGAGTCTAAAATCAGTTTTATTATTTGTTCTCAGGATTCTACATGAGAGTAAATATCAGTAAGGGGTCCACACCAATGGAAGCCAAATTCCTCAGCCCCCTGCTACCCCCTTCATCCCCCTACTGCCAGATTCTGTAAGCAATAATACTGTAAAATCTCTCTAATAATAATCTAAAATGTAAAAGCTATATGGAACAATATATTATATATATATGCATTGCTCAATGCATCCCCCCACCCACTCGTCTTCTACCACGCAACTCTCCTTCCTAATCCGACATTCTTCACTTGTTCCTTCCTTCTCCCCAACACCCAGGTTTCACTTCCACATCAGTGCAGAGAGTACTGGGTCACTCAGAGTGCTTATGCAGCAAGCTGAGGGCGATGAAGCAATCCTGTGGTCACGCAGTCACAACACTGTCTCCCACTGGACCCCTGAGCATCTGCCCGTGGGCCTGCACCAGCAGCCATACAAGGTGTTTATCCGTGCAGAAAATTCACCTTTAAACTCAGAAAATTGCTTCTTTTTAATTATTCTTTTTGCAAAACCGTCATCAAAAGAGAGCAGAGCGGAGCTTCACACGTGTTGCAAATCACCTCTAAATTATATTCGTGTTGCACAATTTGATGTTTCGATTAATTGTTTGTGTTTCCAGCTTTTGTTCAGTAGCATAAATAAAGCTACACAAGATGTGAATGTTGATGGAGGCCACAGTGTCGCTCTAGATGACATCTTTTTCCTTAACTGTGAAAAATCCTATCAGCCACCAGGTGAGTAAGATCCCATTAAAATGTTCTGTTGAATCAGATGATTGGGTATATAAAGTAACTTCTGACACTCCTTTTTGCTTTTCTCAGATCTGCCGTCTTTCAGCTGTACGTTTGAAGACGGCTTGTGTCTTTGGGTCCAAGGAGCCAAAGATGAGCTAGACTGGCTCAGCAGATCAGATCCCACTGACACCCCCAACACTGGGCCTGCAGGGGACCACACCACAGGCAAAGGTTGTCACTACACCAAACTCTTCCCGTTCACACAGTCCTGTAACTTTACACAAATCAGTGAGCGCTCATGCAGTCTAACAGTCACACTGAGTTCCCACGACTGCTGATGAATGTTCTTTTACGCCCTTTTTAGTCACCGAAAAATCTGTCACAATTACAGTAAATCACAAAGCAGTTTAAAGTGACTAACAACCAAAGTGACAAAATCACACCAGTAAGACTAGACAAAGCAGATATATAAAAGCAAGATGAATCAGGTTTGTGGACGAAACTTTTTTTTCAGATTTATGTTGATGTAGCAATATATATATATATACATATTTATATATATATATA